CATAATATAAATAATAAATAATAATGGCCCTAGGACTGAGCCCTGTGACACACCCTGTTTAAGAGGGACAGAGGGAGATTTATAGCTATGTATGGTGATGTAGTATTGTCTGTCCGTCAAATTTGAGGAAAACCAGCATAACGCAGCTCCTGAGATGCCAATCTCTGAGAGGCGCATGAGTAATAGCTTATGAGAGACAGTATCAAAAGCTGAGTTGAGATCGAGTAGTAGAAGTATAGAAAGATTGCCCAAATCACCAGAAAGGAGGAGGTCATTTATAACCCTTACTAGAGCAGTTTCAGAACTGTGTTGCGAACAAAAACCTGACTGAAATATATCAAAGTGTTCATTGAGAGCTAGAAATGACTGCAATTGAGCGGCAACAACCTTTTCCATGATTTTTGAAACAAACGGTAGGTTGGAGATTGGACGATAATTAGTGTAATCAGTTGGGTCTAGATTTGGCTTTTTAAGAATAGGAGTAACAGCAGCAGTTTTAAGTGAAACTGGAACAGTGGCAGAAGTAAGAGACATGTTTACAAGATGTGAAATTGGAGCAGAAATGACAGAGGTGCAGTGTTTTAAAAGGAATGTTGGTGCAGGGTCAGCCCGGCAGGAAGAAGAATTGGATTTCAGCATTATTTCACTAATTAAGGTGGGATTAGTCAAGGAGAAATTATAGACCGATAGATAATAGACCGAGCTAGCTCACAAGTAGAAGTGGTCAGTTCTACACCAAATGTCCCACATAAAGCGTCCAGCTTGCCCTGAAAATGGCATAAAAAAGAACAGCATAGATCGTCAGATTCTCGTTGAAAGGCATTATGCATGGGATTTGTGATTAGTCATAGGCCTATTGTTTGCTTTGTTAATAATTTTGGAAATATAGGAAGAGTGAGCTTCATTCAAGGCAGTTTTATAGTGCTTAACATGATCTGAAAATGCCTGAAAGTGTACTGTTAAACCTGTTTTCCTAAAAAGGTGTTCAAGTTGCCTGCCTTTTGCTTTCATAGCACGTAGCTCATCATTAAACCATGGAGAGGAGCTGGACATGGGAACAGACCTAGTCCTAATTGGAGCATGCTCATCTAAAACATCATCAATATCAGAGTGATACAAATCAGATATCTTGGATGGACAGGTAAAATTGAAAACATCTGAAATAACAGATGAAGCAATAGAGGCAGTAAATGTATCAACATTGATGGCATCGAACTTACGATAAGAAATGGTTATGTTGTCAGTACATTTGGTTGGATAAGTATAGTCTAACTAGCCATATTTTTGGTCAATTTAAGCTGCATTGAAAATAGGGGTTGAATTGACAAATAAGTTAAACTGTTTCTTAAAGGGTGTGTAAAATTTCAGATATTGGCAAGCAAAGAAAAGGAATAAGCAAAAAGTCACATCATGTATAATCATGACTGATAATTTATATTATCACTTTGAACTCATGCACGTCCCCAAGTAATCATAATGTAAATGTCACTAATGTTATGTTGTAATGCTAAATATTTGAAACAACCTGTGAATTCATTAAACATCTTCCCTTTGAGAATTAAAGTCGGAGGTTATTCAAACTTTAATGTGTGATTTTTAAAAACATTATTTTAATGAGCTCAAAGTAGTGTTAATTTTGTCAGCTATTTTCATTTTAGTCTTAGTCTTAGTCCCGTGCAGATGTGGACAGTAGTGAAGTATTTTTACTCTGCTGTAAAAGTACTTTTCAAGTGTCAGTACTTTATCAGTGTTTTTCTTTAGAAAACTTTACTTCACAACATTCCAAAGCATAATATTGCACTTTTTATTGCACTACGTTTCATATTAAATATACTTAATTACATTAGAAAACTATTACTTTCTTTCTTTTACTCAAGTAAAAGTAATTGAAAGATTTACTTGAGTACAAGAAAGTACTACATTTCTAATGTTCTTAAGTATGAAAGGTAAAACAAACAACAACTTTTATTTATGAAATGTAGTGCAGTAAAAAGTAAGACATTATGCTTTGGAATGTAGTGAAGTAAAAGTTTTCCAAAGAAAAACACTCTGATAAACTACAGATAATTTTAAATTTACTTGAGTAAAGTAAAAATACTTCACTACTGTCCGCCTCTGGTCCCCAATGTTTTAGACCATGACTGTTTATTTTGAGCGATTATTTCCTCAATCCTCAAGCTTCCTCGTGCGCATCACATGGATTAGTGTTCTTGCAAAACTATGGTCAAAATAGCTCTATTTGGGCCTCGTGAACTTGTCGCAGAGATCAGCGGTTCACCCATGGGAAGTCTTTAAAGTGCAAGAGAGTGTGATCCAGCACGAGCGCAACCTGAGTGTCTTTCCTGACCGACGGGCTCCTGAAAGACAGGAAGCATTTGGTCTCGGCAGGAAAACTGCGCTTATGTCATCAAGATGGCCAGGAAGTGCATGCGCAGCCTTATCTCCAGACGTACAGGATTTACTGTAGGGTGTGAAGAGGGAGGGGATGACGAACAGCGGCATGATTTGCGCAGAGCTATTGTATATGTAGGACACCCGCTGCGTCAATGCTCGTGTTTGCAGACAGGCTTATCAATGGGGCGGCAATAAAGACCCCATCAGAGTGAAAGTGATGTGAAGCAATGGCCTCCTGGGTCACGCCTTTGACTCAGTGGATGTCTAACATGTTAATACACAAATGCCTTTGTAAACAGATGTAATGAATGAACTGGTTTTTGAGCTTATCTGTAAATGTTTTCACAGATTTGTGGGTTTACAGGAATTTCTTAAAGGGGTCCTATTATGCTTTTTCACTTTTTCAACTTTAGTTAGTCTGTAGTGTTGCTGTTTGAGCATAAAAAAGATCTGCAAAGTTACAAAGCTCAAAGTCCACTTCAAAAAGAGATATTTTATTCAACAGAAATCACTTTTCAAAAACTACAACGAACGACTCGTTTGGACTACAACGCATATTTTCCGGGATTTGTGATGTCACAAATATCGACGAATGGGACGAGACCTAGTTGAGCTGCACTAGAGAAGGCAACTAGTGTTATCACTAAGTCGGAGACACGCTAGCTTTCCCAAGGCAGACGAACTTCGAGTGGTTACAATCATCCGGGTTTAAATCACACTCAAATTGATTTGATTTTGACGCAATATTTACACTGAAGCTCCCAGTTAGGGTTAGGGTTAGGGTTAGGTTAGCTCGCCTAACCCTAACCCTATGGTAAGGAGCGTGACATTTCCCGACCAGGCGCTGAGTGCTGCCAATCACAACACACACTGGCCCAGCTAACCAATCACAACACATTTCGTATTTCAGAAGGCGGGCCTTCATTTGATACAGGAACTATTCGAGCAGTTCGAGCATGCCAGACTGGGGAGAGAGGTGTTGTAATAATGTAACATATGTGAAAAATAATGTGTTTTTCGAACAACCTAGTATGAGAGCCTGTTCTAGTACACCCCCAAAACAAAATCAAGACTTTGTAAAAGAGCATAATAGGACCCCTTTAAACTTAATTAGTTACTTAGTATGTTTTTAGTGGTATTTTCTAAGGCAAGCGTCACTATTACTGTTGTTCACGGTTATGGATTTGACCTTTGGCTGTAACTCTGACACAGTTTATTCTGTGGACATAATGAATGTTGCATTAAATGTTGCCTGAGCACCCTGAAATGAACATCTTAAACCAGCCTAAGCTGGTTTTCTGGTCTTCACCTGGACTGTATCAACCTGCAGGCCTTAACAAACTCAGCAAAAAAAGGAGGCTTCAAGATGACTTAAAATGATTTAAAATAAGGCAAAACAAGCATTAAATAAGATAAAACTACTAAAACTTTTTATTTCTTATATTAATAATTACATTTTATTATTTCTCATACCACGGTTCAAACTCAGGGTTCAGAAAAACCTGGATATATGAGGAAGCCTAATTTTAAAAGTGTGATTTCTAGACCTGGAAAAGTCGTAGGCATTTTTATAAATGTTTCTAGTTATGCCAAGTGCTGCAATATTTCATCAGATATAAATTGAGTAAAAAAATATTTTTAAAAATTCTTATCCTGTAAATCACGAACAACTTGAAAAGTTGAATTTTGTTATGGACAATTGGGGGGGGTTTGAGTCTAAAAAGGTTGAAAACCGCTGGTTTAGAGAAGTTTTAGGGAATTTCAAATCAGCTGAAGACTGAAGTCTTAAACCAAATAAGACCAGCAAACCAGCTAAGGCTGGTTTAAGCATGTTTTTTCAGCAATGCAGATTTGCTATTTTTAATTAAACTGGTGAAAAAAGTCCCTTAGACTAACGTTTTATGTGACAGACTTGAAACATTTATGGTGCAGTCACATTTAACGTTGTTCAACAAATTTCTGTGAAATCCAGTTATTTCAATGCGAGTCCGCACAATGTGGCTCAAGTTGGTTTCGCAGCCAGTTCAGGTTAGTCACTCTAATTCGCAGCCAAAACGGATTAGTGTTTTCAACAGTTTAATGGTTTGCGTTGCAGGATTAAACTTAGTTGAAACGTAACTCTACATATAAACGAATTATTTACAGAAACCTCCGAATTGCACCAGTAAACTCATGTGTAAACTTCAGTGGGAATCCACACAATCAGGAATTTCGGGACAACGTTAACTATAAAGATAAAGTTTTTAAAAAATCGTTCTAAATTTAAGAGAATATCGGAAACCTCACCACAACTCTAATGATAACGATACAGAGGAATGATATAGTTGGAATCACTTACAAAATCATTTTTTCCAGCTGATGAACGATAAAAACATTGACTGCCAACCAGAATCCATCTTTGGTGTGAACACTAATATAGTTGTCATTATCTTATAATTATCGCTCTTAGCGTGAATGGGCCTTTTGCACTCATTTGCATTTTATGAGAGAGAACATTATATGAATATTTAGCAGTTCTTCATCATGAAACCAATGGGGAACATTTAGCCATTATGGTGTGATGTTATGAATGTGTTTATCTAATATTTCTCCTCCTCATCTGCTTTCAGCCCTCATACTGGTGCAGCAGCCCTCGTGTGACCCTGCTGAAGGAGAAGGAGGAAGAGGAGGAGGCCGAAAAGGTGTCGAAGGGCGAATTCTTTGAAGAGGAGCCAGCTGGACTGGTCTCGGGGGTCAAGATCAAACATTTGGCAAAGGTATCATCAGACGCACTGTGTTTTTAGGCCATTGGCCAATGAAGTTTGAGCACCTATTAGACAAGGTTAATGGAGGTCGATCGGAACAAAACTTGAAAGAAATCGGCCACTGGGGGGCGATATCGCAGTTTTCAAGGGCGTAAACCATTGTATATTGCGCGCTTCTTCACACAGACACACAATATATTTGTATCGTAGGATAGAACTCCTCATTACGAACAACTTTGCCTCTAGGACCACTGCTGGCAATCACATTGTTTGTTAAAAAATGGAGAATATGTAAAAAAAAATATATATATTTTGTGAACTAGTCCTAGGTTTTTTGCTCAAAAAACTCCACTGCAGTACAATTCTCTGGACTCTCTAGGTCAATAATTATAAATATATATATTTTGTGAACTAGTCCTAGGTTTTTTGCTCAAAAAACTCCACTGCATTACAATTCTCTGGACTCTCTAGGTCAATAATTATAAAAAAAAATTTGAACTTTACCCTTTGGGTAGCTATAACGCGGTCGTTTTGAAAAGGCGCCTGTACGGTAGCCGAGAAGTGCAAAGCAAATCACAATTCTGAAAACAAAATAACAAATTACAAACGCAAATGTAATAAAAAAAAGTCTAAAAAACAAAATAATTCAAAAAGCACAACAACAATTCAGAAAACATTATAACAAGTCAGAAAACACAATGACAAATCCGAAAACATTATAACAAGTCAGAAAACACAACGACAAATCTTTCAGAATTGTGATTTGCTTTGCACTTCTCGGCCACCGTAGGCCTGTCCAAACATACCCAAAAGCCAAAATTACCTGGGTTCTACCTGGGAAAATTACCCAAACATGCTTTTTTTAAATCATTGATTTAGGTGGTTACAGGCTTGCTAAATAATATGTATTGTCTTTTTTCATATGTGCTTAAATGCCTTAAAGCGCTTGAACCCCGATAATCGCTGCTTGCAGCTATATTGCTTTAATATAGCTGGTAGCAGATGGTAGACTCTGTTTGTGTGTGTTTGTGTGTGTGTGTGTGTGTGTGTGTGTGTGTGTGTGTGTGTGTGTGTGGGCAGTGTGATGGAGACATGTAGAAGCTGTTGGAAAACGTGAGCATGTGGATTGTTCTGTCACAGGTGTTCAAAGTGGGCAATAAGACCAAGGAGGCGGTGAGGGATTTAACGCTCAACATGTTTGAAGGCCAAATCACTGTCCTGCTGGGTCACAACGGCGCGGGCAAGACCACCACACTATCAATGCTGACCGGTAATGAACACAGTAATGTAGTTTTATGTATGAAATAGTGTGGCTGTCCCTCTCAAATTGCTTTAGGAAATATGATTCGTTTTACTGAGTTCATTTTAATGAACTGGTTCTATAAATGATTTACTTGATTCATTTGAATCATATCTATGTTGTGTTCTTGGAACGTGCGGCGAGACATTGTTTTTCATCTGTTTTATAGTTGAATAAAGATTAAATACTGCTTTTACCGCTATGTTTATGATTCAGTGAATTCATGAAACAAGTCATGAAACTTTCTTGTGACACTTATTAGTGTCAATCTTGTGCCAGATAAACATAGCTCTTTTTACTGAATCATATAATCTGATAATAATTTAAAGGACTTTAACTTAAATATCTTCAATGTAGTTATAGCCACTTTATGTTAGTAGCTAAGTTAATGTACCTATGTACTTTTTCAAAATAGCAGCTTGTCTAACTATATTAAATTATCAGTAGCTTGTAGCCATTTTGAAAATATTTTCACAACACTAAAAACACAGTTTAGCTATTCTTTGTTAGCAGCTTATAGCATGGCTACAAGACTGTGTAGTTTTAATTTACCCTGAACTTATGATTCAATTCAATTAAATTCAAGTTTATTTGTATAACACTTTTACGATACAAATCGTTGCAAAGCAACTTTACAGAAAATTAAGTTTCTACAATATTTAGTAGTAGCTTATCAGTGGTGACTGTCAGTTTATGTACGTATGGCAGAAATGTACGGAAAATCAATTAAAGACATAATCAAACAGACGATGAACACTACAGTATTAACAGCAATTATTATATGATGCAATCAAACTTATAGCAAAATGTGGTAGTTCTGTATGTTGTTTCATGGTTGGCATCATCTGAGGT